TATTATTAGTATCTTTATAATTTCTTTTATATTCGACGTATATTATAAAGTCTTTATAGAATTTAAAAAAGAATTAACTTTCTTAGCTTATTCTACTATAAGTACGCTAATATATCTATTAAATAATAAATAACGATACTTCGTATATATTACTTAGATAATCTAGAAGAACGTCGATTATAGAATATAAGCGATATCGTCGTCTAATAGATATATGCTAATTAATCTCCTCTCTAAGTCTTATTATAATATAGATAATTTTAAAAGTATCGATAAGAAAATAATCGCCATTATAGATAAGTTTATCTTAAATTCTTATTTTTCAATTATTAAATAATATTAAACTAGTATTTATAAAGATAGATAGATTCGATAGTCTCGAGCTAAGTGGCTATCTAACCGACTATAACGAGATTAATTAATATCGATTTATTTTAAATACCTCGAAATCTCGTAATATAAATAAAGGTGGAGACGAAGATAAAGTAGAGATGTTAGGCGAGTTTTAATCTTATATCTCGAGTTCTTAAGTTTAATTCTTCTCTAACTAACTCGATATCTTATAATATCGCTAATAAAGATTCTTAGTAGATAGAGATCGCTATATATATAATATACGAAGAAACGACGAGTTAGAAGATAAGTATCTTCTATATAGATCGTCGTATATAAGATAGAACTAGCTATAATATATAGATAAACGACGATATAAAGAAAGATATCTTAGTATTAATATAGATGAATTTAAGTAAAAATTTATAATATTTCGAATATAAATAGAATTAAGCGAAGAGGTCTCTAAAATTCTTAGTATTATATATATATATAGAGATAGAGATCGATAATATCTCTTTAATTAATTTCTATATTTTAATATTAAGATTTCGATTTTAGCTATAAACTCTCTAATAGTATTATCTCTTTACGAGAGTTTAATATACTTATTTCTTAATTAATTAGATCGTCGTATAGACTCTAAATAATTTAAATATAACTCTATTCACTGCTATCGCTTCGTCTAGAGAGTTTCTTTTACGATTATAGAGTTATTATAAAAGAGAGAGCGAGCGAAGAATAATATCTTATTTTTAATATAGAAAACTCGTTTTTCGATAGATTAGACTATCGTTAATAATGTAGATTATCTAATATAGATTCTTTCGAATAGTATATATAACTTCTATGTGATAGAAATACCTAGCATTTTCTTTATTAGGCTCGATCGCTTACTTCGAGTAGAAAGTAAAAAACCCGTTAATTTTCTTCGTCGAAGAGAGGATACGAAGGAGCTTTATTATAATATTAGAATTAGTATAAATATAATATTAATATAGATAAGATAGAACGAGAATAATAAGACTATTAAATTATATATATAGAAAGAAGATATAATATAATAGAGAATATCTTCGCTAAGACTCGCTAGCTATAGAGCTAAGTAATATATTAAAAATACGCTCGTAACATTTATAGAGAGCTAGTTATTTTAGAGTATAAGATTTCTATATATAAATTTTTAATAAGAAAGCTCGAGAGAGCTAGCGAGCTAATTTAGTTAGTCTAGCTAAAAGACGTAATAATCTCGAATTAATAATTAATTATATATATAAATTCAAGATTTTCTAATTTAGCTCTATCTTATTCTTTTATATATACTAATATTTCTACTTTATAAATTAATAGAATTAACTCGCGAGTTACTTACTATAGTTAAATTAAATAATTTTATATAAATAAAGTTATTAGAATTATAAGATAATAAGATCTCTTTTAATAAAACTACGTAATAGCTATATAATTAGAAGATTTAGATATATAGTTAATAGAATAAATAAATTAGTTATTAGATAAAATATATACTAAGATATAGACTTTTTAATAGTAGAAAGCTTATCGAGTACTAATTTTTAATAATTTAATTCTTAGAAAGACTTTCTAAAACCTCTTAAACCCTTCGAGAACTCTTTAAGAGCTCTTCGAGAGCTTATATCGAAGGGGCTATTAAAGCAAGCTCGAAATTTAATTATTTTAATAATATTTAATTAATTTCGAGCTTGCTTTAATAGCCTCTTCGATATAAACTCTCGAAGAGTTTTTAAAGAGCTTCGAAAGGGCTTAAGAGATTTTAAGGAGTCTAACCCTAAGAATTAAGAGAGACGTTATAATATACGACCCCCTTCTAACTCTGAGAATTGAGAGAAACGTTATGATAAACTTAGGGGGAGACCCTCTAAAACCCCTCTGACCCTCCGAGGGCTCTCCGAGGGCTTCTGCCGAAGAGGCTCTTCTCGCAAGCTCGATAATTCACTAGTTTTTAGTTTATCTTTACGAATACTTTATCGAATTTCGTCTTCGCTATTTTATTTAAAAGCGTATAATTAACTCTATAACTCTTTAAATTTACTTTATTATCATTTATTACGTAACGTTAAAGAAATTAAATAGAATAAATTAATAAAGTTAATATTCGAGGTTTAGTCTTATAATACTTTCTCTTTTAAATATATAGTTACGTACTCGTATTTAGAACAAAAATAAAGAAATAAGATATATTTTAGACTAGAAATCGTGGAATCTAAGAATCTAATTAATTACTAGTCTCTTAGCGTAAAAATTTTTTAAAATTTTAAATTTTTAAAATTAAAAAAAAAAAATTTTTTTTTTTTAAATTAAAAAAAAAAAAAAAAAAAAAAAAAAAAAAAAATAAAAAAAATATTAAAAAAATTAAAAAAAAAAAAAAAAAAAAAAAAAAAAAAAAAAAAAAAAAAAAAAAAAAAAAATTATTTATTTAAAAAAAAAATTTTTTTTTTATTCGAGACTCTAATTTAAAAAAAATTATAAATTTAATTTATAAATCTTTACTCGTATATATTAATATCTTATACTTTAATTTAAATTATAATATCGTATTTTATATTCTATTTTAATCTTAATTCTTATATATAATACAAGTAAAGGCCCATGAATTAAATTCATGGAGTTGGATGTTTCTAAGTTAAATCGAACTCTGATCGCTTGCTGTGCGTTTTTGACCTACTTCCACTACTACAAAATTGATTTAATCTATGTAATATACAGGCACATATATGCGGAGAGAGGCGCGCTAAGGCCTAATTAGGAAGGTATATCGAGTGTGAAGGATTAATCCGTAATAATTGCCTATAAAAAACAGAGAAAGGCCATGTCCTTATGGCAAGAAGTATCGAAATACCGGAAAGAAATGGAGACAACGTATCAATTAGTGGTGTGAATCCCACAATATCTCCTGCCGTAGGGAAATTTTTCGAATAATGAAATAGCTGTAAACATCGGACGGTTTCAATTTGTCCAAATATGCATCGTCCGATGTTTCTCCTAGAAAGGCCGCAATGAAAAAAAAAAAAAAAAGAGGGGGGAAAAAAAAAAAAAAGGGGGGGGTCCCCCCCCTCAAGAAAAAAAAATTTAAAAAAAAGAAGGGAAAAAAAAAAAGAAGGGGGGTGGGAGAGCTGAGCCGTGTTCTTGACGATGGTGGCCTTGTTGCCGCTTGGTTTCTCCGTAGTGTTCTCCATAGTGTTCTCCGCAGTGTTCTCCGCATTTGCCTGTTGTAGTTCCTCCTCTTCCTTCTTAATATAGTGGGGATGATAGGCTAAGTTGCAGTGGTGTTCTCCCTTGTGAGTGATGATTTGATGTGGAACCGTGGAGAAAAAAAAACGTAGAATTTTGAAAAATAAAGCCGTTTTTTTGTTGGGGGGGGCTTTTTGTCGCTTTTTTTTTTCCCAATTTTTTTTCCCTTTGCCTGTTGTAGTTCCTTCTCTTGCTCCTCCTCTTGTAGAGTATCAGACTGAGTGGCTAGCTGAGTGGCTGACTGAGTGGATTGACTGATAGGGTAGAAGTGGGATCTTGAGAGCTGAGTTTTTGGTGTGGGGTTTTTTTTTTTTCTTTATTTTAGCGTAGAAGTTATTTAGAATTTTAAGTCTTAAGTATTAAGAAAGTAAGCTTTTTAATTAATAACTTAAAAAAAGAAGAAGAGAAAAGAAAACTTATAAGTATTTAAGACTTTATTAAGTATATTAGATACTCGTCTTAGCTACGTAACTTATAGTCTAATAAGCGATATAAGCGAGTCTATTAATTTACTTCGAGTACTTTTACTCTTATAATAGCTCTAATTTAAAAAAAAATTATAAATTTAATTTATAAATCTTTACTCGTATATATTAATATCTTATACTTTAATTTAAATTATAATATCGTATTTTATATTCTATTTTAATCTTAATTCTTATATATAATATTAAAATCTAAGAGAGTTACTTAGAGATATTTAGAGTTTATTAAAATAATAAGATATATCTTAAAATCTCGCTTCGAGATTAAGACGAAATAGAGTTTTTAAAAAAACTTAAAAACTTATCTCGAAATTCTAGCTCGACTTCGACTCTCTTTAAAATCTTATTAAAGCTTTTTATCTTATTACGTAACGTATATAGAGCGTAACTTACGTATATTAATAATTTTAAAAATTAAAAATTTTAATCTTATAATTATTTAAAGATAAGAAATTTAAATATTATTAATAATAATTCGCTCGATAGCTCTAATAAAAAAAAAGATATATATTTTTAAATTTAATATAAAATTTTTAATTTCTATTATAATTTCTTAATTTTTCTCTTAAACTATAAAATATAACTTACGCTTTTTAATAAAGTAAAAATTATAAAAATCGATTTTATAAATTTAAATAAATTCTAAGTTAAAGTATTTTCACCCTTCGAGAGTCGAATCTAATTACTTTTCATGAATTTAATGTATAGGTATTTAGACTTCTGACACAATATATATATATTGAGGAGTTGTTTCAGCGTGCCATTTGCTATTTGGCAAAAACCTTGGCTGCTTGGCAACCTTCCGGGGGCCCTTGGCTGCTGCTCGCAATTACGAAAAGCCTCCATGCTCTAGTCCATACGATTCCATCCCTTTGCTCGATTGAAGCGACGAACCAAGACACTGCGAATAAGATGGATGCGCCACGCGATCTCGAAGCACATGCCCAACATCCCGAGCCTCCTCCGCGATACGACGACTATGGTGGTGGGGACGAGTATCCCTCTGAAGACGAACTATCCGACCGTGACCTGCACCTCTTGAATACTGATTACGACCTGCAAAGAAACCTCTCCTTCCATCCTGCCCTCCAGCCGCATAGTCAGCAATACAATTTCTCCATCCCGCCAAGGTTGCGAGGAAACAGTAATTCTGCGGACGATATCCACGCTCTGTCTGAGAAGTACCAGCCCAAGATATATGAGTGGAAGGGGGGGTCACCGGTACCTCCTCGGACTACTTTGCTGCATAAGAAAGACATGTACAACGGAGGCTTGAGTGACAATGAGTACAGAATATCCCAGCGTGATGCTCGGGCTTATCAACCGTATCAAAAGCGACGACCTCTCATCGATCTCATCCGCAATGAGTGGAAAAATAATTCATACACGCCATCCTCATCCTCTCCCGGATCTCCAGGTTACTCTTCTCCCAATTGGATACAAGTATGTTCAGCACCACGAGTTCGGCGATATGTGCTCCTTCTGTTCATGCTGCTGAGCTTGATATGGGGGAATTGGCATTACTGGGCAGGCCCTTCGTGGACCGAGCACCGGCTCCTAAGCCAATCGTTGAATCAGAGGATGAAGACGGGGGAGGGTTGGTTTGGGGAGAACTTGAGGCCGGAATTCCTGGACATGGTCCAGGTGAAGACGCTAGATCAAGATCTTATCCCGGCTAGAGAAGACCGGAGGAGGTTGGTTGTTATCGGAGATGTGCATGGTTGTAGTGATGAACGTAAGTCTATCAATCGGCTTTCTTAGCCCGCTATAAGAAATACCACGTAGTTGATACGCAGCGGTAACAGTGGAGAACCTGCTGGCAGAAGTGCAATACGAAGCCAGGACCGACCATCTGATCTTCGCCGGCGACTTCATCTCGAAAGGCCCGTCTTCTCCAGCTGTCATCGACCTTGCCATTTCAGCTCACGCTTCTTGTGTCCGCGGCAACCACGAAGACCGTGTTCTCCTGGCCTACCGCGATCTGTATTCTCATCGTTTAACCCAAGAGCAAAAGGGCAAAAAGGCGCCATCACCGCCCGCAGCTGGCATGCCCGAAGACATGAGGCAGAACGACAGCGAAGATGAGGGCGAAAATCTAGAAAAGCAAAGCTTTTCGCATGGTGATGCCGTTGATCGGCGGCTGGCCGAATCGTTCACAAAGAAGCAGATCGATTACATGGCTTCTTGCCCCGTGATACTAGGTGTAGGCCAGATTAATGGCCTGGGCGATGTCCATGTTGTACACGGTGGTCTGGTGCCTGGTGTGCGTTTGGAAAGACAAGATCCCATGGGCGTGATGCACATGAGGACAATCGATCTTGACACCCACGTCCCGAGCAGCAGCGCGAAGGGAACACCGTGGTTCAAAGTATGTATTTCTTAAATCTATTGGCTCGTCACCACTCCATTCACGATTGCACGTCTCGGATACTAACGAGGTTTCTAGCTATGGAACAAGTATCAGTCCCTCATCTCTTCGCACCAACGTTCCACTGTCATCTATGGCCACGACTCCCGCCGCGGCCTACAAATCCAGAAATATAGCAAAGGACTGGACACCGGTTGTGTCAAAGGTGGGAAGCTGTCTGCGCTGATCATCGACGCCGACGTAGCGGCAAGGGAGCCCAAGGTGATGAGTGTACAATGTAAAGATTACCGGGAGCCCGAGGAAAGAAAGGAGGCCAAGACGTGAGGAGACGGGTACATGTTTGAAAAACGTATATAGCAGAGGATGATGGATGTAGAAGCACAAGACGCGTTAGCGGATATGCTTCTCAGGTTGTGAGCAGAAGACGCATTCACCACGGTTTCTTGACGCAATTATTGACACACAAACGGTTAGCTTCATGGACCAGATACCCAGGCATGTCCGAAACGCCTTTGGTCAATATTTAGTCTTTACTCAAAGGGTTGCTATGAAGAGATACTATTGCTGTTATTGATTGTTGACTGACCAATAGGTATTGAGTTTTTAGACTGTGGATGTTTTCATAGTTTTACGGCGTTCATCGCAACAACATCTCATGGATGCTGCAATTTGATGCTTCCTGAATCAGCACTTATCGTCCGGCCCAACTTGCTTAGGCCCTGAGTCCTTGCATCATGTTATGGATGGTATCAATGACAACTGGAAAAATGCTTCCCACACTATCCACAATCAAACCCTCGAAGTGTCTCATCGCCTCCTCTTCGCTCATCTCAAGATGGAACCTCTCTCTCACCTTCTCCACCACCCGTCCCGGCTCCACTTTGATATCAGGGATGTTTGCATCCACCATCAGACTGAAAAGGTTCAAGATGAGATTGCTCGACTTCCGCAATGTCGTGTAGGCTGTAAAGCAGTACGATTTGAAGGCGGCGTAGTGTGGAGAGGTGGAGCTACCCATACCCTCAACCATTTCCTTACAGAGTTTCATCTGCGGCGCGAAGGGTTTGGGGTCACGGCCCAGTATGTAGCCAAAATCAGCGTGGAAGAAGCGTCCGGATGGCGCGAGGAGGAGGTTGTCAAGATGGCGGTCTCCCACACCCAAAAGGTAAGTGATCACGCAATAGCCTGCACAGGATTTCACGTAGGTGTCCATGGCCGACGGCCGTACACCCAGATCGCCAGTGGTGTCGGGGTTGTTGGCGCGCAGGTAGGCAAGGATACTGCCTTTATACTTGGCGGAAGCCGCGGCTAAGCTCATAGACGGTATGAACTGGACAGCTCCTGCATTGGGGCTGGTGGCTAAGATACGGTATGGTGAGAGCTTAAGGTCAAGGTTCTCTTTCCGTAGGAGACGATCCATCAAAGAAATTATTTGGATTACAAGCTGGTCTTGCCGGAGATCATCACCTGTCTTGAAAATAATTGGGTATTTCTTGCCATCCGAAGTCTTGAAGTGGACGAGTAAGGGGTAAAGTGAAGATTTAAAAACAAGGGATTCCTCTGGGTAGCAGCCAACGATAGAAACGCTTGGATCCAAAGGAAGCGGTAGGGGAGGATCAAAGGTCGTCAAGTCATTTTTGGGATCTGCAAGGTACTTTTTCAGTCGCTGTAGCTTTCGAGGTCGGTCTTCTCTCGAAAAGCGTATCTCTTTCGATATCTTCGATAACACCGTAATCAACTCTCCTTGCCGAAGGAGGGTCTTTCGTCGCCCTGCTCCTTCCGGCAGTTTCATGAGCTCCGTCATGAAGTCGAACTCAACCTTTGCAAATAGCTTTCGATGCTCCTTAACCTGATCCGGACTCCTGTCATCACACTCCACCATCAAGTACCAATGCAGGAAATTGCCCAACATCAGGTTTTTCGTTGCTCGTGAGATGAGGAATCTTCCCAATGAAGAATCTTGGGTACTGCCATTGTGCGGCTCTGGGGATATCTTCTCGAATTTCAAGGCTTGGACCAGCTGAAGAAGATACAAAAGCAGCTCGTCATCGTCTGACTCTCGTAGGCGATCAACGGCATAGGCTCTGACGGCTGTATTATCAAAAGTAGGCCCCAGAAGCTCCAAGGCATCATCGACGTCTACCTCGGTCCACTTTGGTAGAAGCTGGACAGCTTGACGAGCCTCACTTTGGTCATGCCATGCAACGGATTTGACAAACTTGGTCAATGCCCGCTTGTCGCGCGTGAGATGATGTCTGAACTTCCAGACCAAATCTTTTTCTTCTGCGTTAAGCTCTTGAGTAGGGCCGTAAGAGACGATTGTGTTCAACTCATCTCGGATCTTCGCATTGGGTTTGAGGTCTCGATCCAAGACACCAGTTCGATGACTTCTCACAAGTCTTCTGTGCTTACTCTCGGCTGGGTTGTCCTTGGCACCAACTTCTGGGTCATAAATTCGGATCAGTGGAGGGCCATTCTCATAATCGTCGCTCACTCCGTTCCCTGTCCCATTAATACCCGGACCAAGCTGTACTTCGGGGGGCGGTTTCAGATTGACATTGCCGGTCGGCGGCACGTAGCTGGCTTGAGATGAGATTGGAGGAGGAGCGTACTCATGATCAGTATACACGATAGGGAAATCAAACCTTGGAAAGCCAATCAACAGCGTATATCTTTCCTCTTCCTTTTCATCTTCGTTGGCATCTGCGTCATTGTCCTCGACCTCGGGTCCAGAAGTCGACATTGTTCTCCTTGCTTTCGATGATACCTTTGCTGAGGTTTCTACTAGCTGCCTTTGCTTCTCTACGGCTTTGAAGACGAGTTTGTCCAGCCAGTCGACACGTGGAATTTCTCCCATCTCGTGCTTTTTGAAGAGCCTTTCGAGTCTCTCAAGCTCCTCCTCTTCAGATGAGGTAACGTGGCCATTGCTGAAACCAAGCCCGCCCCTGTTCCTCTGCGCTGGTGGGACGGCAGGGGTAGTTGTTGACGAAAAGCCGTCTGCTGCCTTGTGCCGATAGAGTCTACACTTCTGCCGACCTTTCTGCAAAGTACTATCTTTGTCAAACAGCGATATAGTAGTGCCTCCAAAGGGGATCGCATGACCACGGGCTCCCTGCCCACCAGTAGGCGACAGATCCCACACTGTGATGGCCAACTGCGAGCTTAGGGGTAAAGTGGAAATTGCAATTGGAAGCTCAAGCCATTCATTCCAAGTGCGACCAATTTTGAAAGACCGATAAGCAGTCTGCACAGGCACGGTCAAGGGTTTGGAATCTGCCCATAGTTGAGCAGTAACATATAAGTCAGAGTTGGGGCTGCAAGAATTCAGCACTCTGATCGAAGCACAATAATTTTACCGCGATACCTTGTATTTGATCCAACATGACGCAGATCAGGCCTCTGCAGCAACGTTGAGAAAGGCGGTGGATTATATTGTCCTTCTAAGCTTCCTCTGAAGTTTGAGGTCAGCAAAGAAGGTTAAGCAGATGTCAAACAGGAACCAACATTCTCACATTGACGGAAAAGTCGAGGGCTCTAGAGTTTGCGAAAGAATACTCCTCCATAAAGACAATTAACAATCAAATTAGATCTTTTTGCTGATGGAGGTTTGATGCCTCGAGATGTTTCTCTGACTCTGATATGCCTAGCCGGGCTAGCTTGGTAGGAATTGACTAGCATAGGTCGACATACCAAGGCGAGCACCGTGCGCCGCTTAACTTAAATCACTTCATCCTCCAATTTCGTTTGTTACTGCAGGAGCCGTGTATCAGTTTGCTCTCTGGTGATTGATCTTCGAAATCGTCGTGAACTTACATCATGATTTGAGAAAGCAGGACTTTAAGAATTGGACGGCTAACCAGACGCTGTGACCGCGTTGCGCAGTCCGGGTTCTATACTCATAGTGACCCACGTCAGTCCCAACATTCAAACTACAATGGCGCGCCGCGCAAAGCTCTCTACTGGAAGGGACGAGGATGTGGAGGTCCAAGCAAATGCCGAACCTACGCTACAAAGGCACGAACGCGTGAGTTTGAACTCACTGTCGCCTTCGCCGGCAGCTTCTTTCTCGTCCGACAAAGAAAACCGACAAGTCCAGGCTGATGAGGCTCGACACAATAATGGCAAAGCAAAGAATATGCCGCCTCCTCAAATGCCCACACCAAGCTCAGCGAATTATAACTCGTCGCGGTCCAGCAAAAAACGCAAACTCGGAGAACGCAATGCACCCAACGCGAGTCAAACGGTGCACGAAAGAGAGCTGGCTGAGGTGGGAGACCGACGGTTTTACGACCCAGATCAAAGCATGGACGAGAGGCGCGCGGTGCGTAAGGATTTTAGGGACCTATCCAGAGAGTTGACAGGTACGCGTTATATGACTAGCGATCAAGAGAGGAGTCACTGACTCTTTGCCCAGATTCACGCGCCGAGTACCTTGCACCTGGCTCCGATGGTCTCCTCAGAACTCTTCATAGGGCAAACGATCTTTTCGGATCAGTCAAGCAAACATCAGACGCCACCTTGGATTCGCGACTGCTCGTGTCAACCGCGGACCTTTCAGCCAAGAGGACAACGCAACTCAATCTTGGCGACGCAACCACCGGGATCGACGTTGATGACTTTGTGGGGAAGTGTATCACCTACATGCGGCGTGGTCCAAGTGATACGGGTGAAGGTTCGACTGTAAGAGGAAGACGAGGACAAGACGATAGCGATGACGACGCGGATGCTAGAGAGGGGTACGACGAAGGAGATGCATTCAACTGGGAGTGGCTGGGTCGTCGAGCTTGTTTTCCCAACAACGTCCGCCCGCCCGTACCTGGGTTCTTACTCGGCCCGCTGTCTGTTCAAAAAAGAGCGCGTAAAGCCACACAACGCCGCGAGCGCTTTCAAAAACGAGATCCCAAAGACGCTGTACGCCCGGAGGAACTGAAGGCTCAAGATCTACAACAAGCCGAAAACTCAAATCTCACCACGTTGTGCAAGAACATCCGAGAGCTCTTGGTCCACACAATGGTGACTGGACAAGCAAAAGTAGAGGAGGAGTTTATGAAGATGACGAGCGAGGATATTTCGGATGAAGAGATCAGGGCAGTGATGCTCAAACATGGAATCGCCGATGACGAGGGTGTTCCTCTGTTTCACTTCGTTGTGAACCCGAAATCTTTTGGTCAAACAGTGGAGAATTTGTTCTACGTGAGCTTTCTGATCAGAGATGGTACGGCTGGGTTTGGCAACGATTCTAATATGCTACCGACTCTCCGTAAGTATACTATGGTCCTCTCTCCCCCTCTCCTTTAAACTAACGCAATGTTTGAAGACGCGACTGTCGCACGTTCACCTCAGCAAATTCAAGACGAGAATATCTCGAAACATCAAGCTGTTTTCCATCTGGATTACGAAACGTGGGAAGACATCATCGAAGCTTTCGATATCAAAGAGAGCATCATTCCTCATCGTCAGTCAGATGAGGTTGCCCAAGTCAGTGCTTCCGGCTGGTATGGATAAATTGCGTAGCTCGGTCACAAACATCTGTCGTAATCCAGAAGATTCGCGACTGTACATACTCAAGGATCTGAACGTCTGTATCCACACCCAGGGAGGTCACCTTTGCCATTTGCTCATGACCTGGGCCTACGGCGCTGCTTTGGCGGGCTCTGTTGCAGGTCTCATCCAGAGCTTGCTTTTAAATTCTAGATTTGCAGATATCCAATACAGTCAATAGTTCGAAGCCTCATCAAGGACCAGAAACGATGAATGCCATGTCTCGCTCCTAGCATCATAAGCTGACTAAGTACACTAGAACCCAAGGAATCTCAGCCTTTTGGAGGAATGGAATGATGATTCTAGGCCAGGAACATGAAAGATCGTGGATAAGAAATGAAACGTCAGCTACCGGCGTACTTTCTCTCGTACCAGTACTTGACAAGGTAGGGGTAGGGCGCGAAGATTGGGAAAGGGGGAACCCTTGTATAAGGCTTTTATAAAGATTGTCGATCGTATCCATCACCAACGGATACAAGGTATACTATTATCCAGAGTCAATTTGAAGCAGTGACCTGGGATGAAGGGGAGTGTTGAGGGTCAAATTCTTTATCGCACTCTCTTTCCAGCATGCCTTTATTAGCTCTGCTTCCTCACAAATGGTTTAGTGCAAGTAAGAGTGTCGATCTCTCTGCTGGAAAATGGCGGAGCGAGTATCTCTCTCAATGTCATCACGTCATAATCTTCCGGGTTTCAGTCCCTACAGTATTTCTTGAAGCGATTTTGAACCCGGATGAAAGGCATGGTATTGTTCTACGTTCTGCTCCATCAGGCCAGGTTCTGTGACGATGCATTCATTTTTAGAAAGAAGACTATCTCTTCGCTGCTGTAATGTTGCTCGACCGTACTGTACCTTCTGGTACAGTGGAGTAGGAAGTCGCGGATGTCAACATGAGAAGAGACGTGCGGTGCTCGATGATAGTTGTTTTTCAAGGAGCGGGAAATTGTGGGCATGGGCCATTTCGGTAGCTGTCCGGACGAACTAATGGGAAGCCTGGAAGGTGTAAGACCAGTGCCTTCGATGGGACAGCATGCTGAAAGCCAGTGAAGACGTATTTTCAGCAGTCGAGTCTTACAGAGCGTCTTTATGAGCGGGTAGGGGCCATTTGCCTATGATCTGACGGCCTTGATCGGTCGGCATTGAAGAAATGAGGGACGAAAAAATCTTGTCCCTGATAAAGACGATTTCATGAATACAGGCAAAGCGGAGAGATGTCTCTTACACACTCATAGAAATAACCACAGACTGATGAACGAATTGATGACCATGCTAGGCGCCTGAGAATATGGCCGAAATTTGTATGAGCTGCGGCTGCAGCCCAGAAGCAATGTAAGAAGAAGCATTTCATGCAATTGATCAGCGCTAAGTAGGCCAAAGTCGAGGGGAAAGACCACTCATGACTCATGAGCGGAGGAACCAGATAGACCGCAACGAGGCAAGCAAAAGCATATTCAGATCCCAACCAGACGATGTTCACTGGTATCTGGCCAGTCATTCACTTTCGTCGCGATGGTCTCAACTTTTGTATCTAGCATTAATCACATCCTAAAAGACCTCAAGACAGGGAATAATATCCTGTCAAATACCGTAACGTTCCCCCAGCCATTCCTTGTGTACCTCTTATATACATCAAGTCTCTTTGTCAAACCTAGAAAGCTCTGGCGAAAATCGCTACCGTTGATGACGACTCAATGCCGCACTCACCTGCTGGTGCTGTAGAAAGCATCAAAGTCAGCATGTCTTCTTCGGGACCAAAATCATGAGTCACGAAACTATTTCGGGGAGTATAGGGACTCTCTTGCTTCCCAAACATGCTTTGTGACCCGATTGATGTATTGATCAAGAGTACATGGCCTTGATGCGTACGTACCTGGGCCATTGACGCACAGAGCGCAGTTGTTATCCGGCGTTGCTCCAGTTCCTAAACCTGCAATAGCTGTCAAAGATTATCGGAGTCAGCGTCGCCATTTCAAGAAGGATGCCAAGCCTTGAAGCGTGTCGACAGGATGCACACTCCCAAAACAGGTTTTGAGACCCAGTATCTGGTCCAGACGAGGGTTTTGGTCTCGGAAATACGTACTAACAAGATTCAACGTATCGCCGCAGTAGCAATCCACGCTCGTCGTGCCCACATTCACAGTTCCATAGAAGTTGAAATTTTGGCTATTGCAAACAACGGAGCATTGCGCATTCCCACTCGCGGTATACGTCTGTATGAAATTGGCTAGCACTTTGCCGGTGCTGGTAGACGAGGCGCCTGTTTGCAAGAAACAGCCCACTGGTGGAGATTGATTAGCAAAAAGCTCAATAGCATGATACGTGTCTCATTTCCTCATCCGTTCGGCGGATCAGCCCAAAACAATATGTCGCTAATGATCAGAATGCTCCAAGAAAAGCGTCAGACAACGCAAGAACCCCGTTGTTGATGCCGCTCTTGTCAAAATCTTGAGGACTTTTATTGTTTCGGTGGCCACTGTTTCCAGCACCTTGCCTTTCTGGCGAAAGCGTGTGATAGGGTGCATGCCCGCGCTTCTGGGATTCTGGAAGGACTTACAGTACGCATATGCAATGCCGGGTGCACCTGAAGGGCCTGTCAATCCTTGGGCTCCACTAGGCCCTACACTACCCTGTATTCCCTGGGCTCCGCTTGGGCCAGTACTTCCCCGAGGTCCGCTAGGGCCTAAATTTCCTTGAACTCCTTGCGGACCAGTTGGCCCGACACTTCCCTGGATTCCCTGAGCCCCAGCCGGTCCAATACTGCCCTGGATTCCCTGGAGTCCAGTCGGTCCAGCGCTGCCCTGAATTCCTTGGGGTCCAGTCGGCCCAGCGCTGCCTTGAACCCCCTGGGATCCAATCGGTCCAGTGCTGCCTTGAAGTCCCTGGGGTCCAGTCGGTCCAGCGCTGCCTTGGATTCCCTGGGTTCCCTGAGCTCCAGTCGGCCCTACACTTCCCTGAGCTCCTTGAGGTCCCGTGGGCCCAAGGCTGCCTTGAGTTCCCTGTATTCCCTGAGCTCCTTGTGGTCCTGTTGGCCCTGCGCTGCCTTGAACTCCCTGAGCTCCAGTCGGCCCTACACTCCCTTGAATTCCCTGAATTCCTTGAGCTCCTTGAGGTCCCGTCGGCCCAACGCTGCCTTGAGTTCCCTGTATTCCCTGAGCTCCTTGTGGTCCTGTTGGGCCAACGCTGCCTTGAACTCCCTGAGCTCCAGTCGGCCCTACACTCCCTTGAATTCCCTGAGTTCCCTGAATTCCCTGAATTCCCTGAGCTCCTTGAGGTCCTGTTGGGCCAACGCTGCCTTGAACTCCCTGAACTCCCATCGATCCTACACTTCCTTGGATTCCTTGAACTCCCTGAGCTCCTTGAGGTCCTGTCGCCCCAGTGCCACCTTGAATCCCCTGTGCACCACTAGGTCCAGGTGGCCCAACGCTTCCTTGAATTCCCTGGGCGCCACTAGCTCCCACGCTGCCTTGTGGACCACTTGGCCTAAGCGGTTACAGATCAGCAGAACATTCCGAATCAATGGGAAGCGTTCGTTGTTACCCTAATGGGCCTGGGCCACCGAGCACAGCGGTGACCGCACTTCCAGTTGAAGGAGCAACGCAAGAGGTAACTATGTATTGATCAGTTGAGAGGCGAGGAGCCATCGGTGTGGACAAGGATCAGGCACATACGTTCTGCGACGGTGAGATCTATGAAAACGCAGGATAGAGGCTGTGCTCCTTGCTGAAAGACTGCAACGATTACGCCAGAGGGGAGCACGCAGAAAAGGGCATTTCCATTAAAGAACTTGGAGCTCGTCCATAGCAGAGTACCAGTATTACTCAAAGAAAACGTGGTGGTAATGTCTCCAGGCGTTGAACTCGGTGCGAAATAGTCATATGTATCGCCTGTGGTCGCGGAGAATTGTGCTACAGTTCCGTTGGAATATGTCACCCAAAGCTGGTTGTTGGCCAACGTGAGTGTGCTTGCTTGTGTGCAGGAAGAAGTTGCTCTGCCCGCGTAGCTCACGAAAGCCCCGGCTTGTCGACGGCGCTTTGGAGACAATTCAGAGGCGACGATCATTAGTGTAAAGCTACCCGCACTATATCGAGATGTAGCGTGGGAATTTTGACTGCTTCAAACACTTTAGAAGGTAACTTAGAGTTCACTGACAAGGATAACTGACCCGTTCATAGTCTCGATAGCAGTACTTCTATAAAAATACGTTGTAAGAAAATCGAGATTGGTTGGCGCATTGTCAACGGTAATGGTAAGATCAGTATTGACTTGAAACGTAGTGTCGCGAGTGACACTGGTTATTATATGTATTGTGTGCTTCACAACCACAACCGAATGAACAAGCATTGCTCCTGAGCGATAGATGCAGGCGTCTTGCGCTGCAGAAATCCACGCAGCGCTGTTGAGGAGTAAAAGGGCATAGCAGAAGAGAGGTTGAAACATCAAACAACCAAACATGGCGTACGATGTCTGAAAGATTTTCACGCGTTGAACGATGATCTAAAGAGGGTGTCGCGTCAGAGAGTGAAAAAACTTGGTGCTGGCTGAATGATTACTAGGTATACTGAAAACAAAGTCACGTGGTTGTTTGGTGTTCCTGAGACACTGCCGCAGGAATGTGGAATGCATTTCCCGTTCCCAGGCAAGCACGCACATTACCTCCGTCCTGCATTCGTCTATATCAGACGGCGGCCCTTCCAGTATGAAGCGACCTTTCACCTCTCATCGTGAAAAATATCACTACCGAGACTACTGCAGTGACCAGCCAAAGAAGCATGTTAACCAAGTCAACCCACACAGCGTTCTTCATCCTCTTGACACCTCCATTCACAGGCTTTGCATGAATGTAGATTTTTCCAAAGACCCCAAAGACAGCCACCCATAGTATACTGTTTGTAGATTGATCAGTATCAACTACCCCCATTACGACTCCCTTCCGCCTAGGCCACACTCACAATAGAACCAGATCCCAGCCGAACGCCCACCAGCTCTTCACCTTGGGCAACACGTACACCAAGCATGTGACGGCCGAGAGTACGCCTACGACTTCTGCGTACGACCATTTAGAGTAGTCACCAGTGTGGTTTTTGCGAGCGTCGCTGAGTTCGGTGCCGTAGAGACCAAGGACTGCGACGGCAAAAATGAATTGCAGAAAGCGTAGGGTCAGGTTGGCGATGACCAGTGCCAGGGGCTGGCTGCTGGAGACAGTGGAGGATGCTTTCTTGTTGAACCGAGAGAATGCCATCACGAGGGAGTATTGGTGTGCAATGCAAAGATGTCTGTTTGTTTTTTCTTCTTCGACTGGAATGACTGGGCGACGCAGTGTCTGGCTCTGAGGGCCAACATTCACCGAAATGGCAAAAGCAGCTATCAGGGTAGATTACTCACCACGCTTCTCACCAATTAAATGTTGGAGGCCGCCGTGGTCATGAGGCTCACTCACTATAATTAACGGCCATCACGCGTATCTAAAGGATCGAGGTTGCGCACGGGATTTGATTGGTTCGCTTAATACCGCAGGTTACTTATGATAGAGCCTCAGATTCCTCCCTCAATAGTGCTACACGCTTACATCGTATCTCGGTAATTCATGTATTCACGTACTCTACGTAGTATGTAAAAAAAGTCTAGCATCCACTTCCTTTCATTTTTGACATCAAGAACATTCTTCGCTCTTCTCACCGCTGCCATGATAGGCTTTACCTAGAGCCTCGATTATGTCTCTTCATCATCTTCTCCGTCGTCCTGTCATTTGCGTCGTCTCTCCACATCACAGCAATTCTCCCGGGAGAATAAATTACACTTCTCTCACACCTTACAAGTCTTCAACGGCGAGTCAGTCCCTGACTTCCATTTTGTATGTATTGTTTCAGAGTAAACGCTTTCCTATTCCCCATCACTGTTCGAGTTGCAAGACATTTTCTGCAAGCAAAAGGCTCCTGATACTCCTTCGAGCTATCGAGCTGCTCAGCATTATTGTCTCTGAGAAAGAATCCTGACTCCAGAAATTTTGTAGGATAGCCAATCGTGGTGAAATAGCTCTGTTAGTCAGTTCCATCTTCCACTGCAACATATAGACTGAGAACGCCAAGACGTGTCAACAAGACAGCTTTCCAGTATGGCATCACGACCACGACAGTCTATACAGAACCAGACGCTAGATCGCAACACGCTCTGAGCTCTCCTAAGGCCGTCAACCTGGGACATTCCTCAGCTTACCTGGATGGTGACAAAATCATTGAAGCTGCCAAAGTGCACGGGTGCACAGGCATCCATCCTGGGTACGGTTTTGTATGTTTAGTGACAGAGTTCTTACGCGTGCACCATGCTGAGCTTTTTTGCAGCTGAGTGAGAATTCAATGTTTGCTAGAAAATGTACAGAAGCGGGACTTGTCTTCATAGGGCCGCCATGGGAAGCAATGGAGGCTATGGGCAACAAAAGGTGCGTCAGCGGACTGTTCATGATAAGGCAGTATAGCTGAGTATTTAACAGCCGGTCAAAAGAGATTATGATCGAAGCCGGGGTACCGTGCATTCCAGGCTATCATGGCAGCAACCAAGAACCAGCTTTTCTCAGGTCCGAAGCCTCCAAAATTGGCTTCCCGGTGCTCATAAAAGCCGTGAAAGGCGGTGGAGGAAAGGGCATGCGGATAGCAATGACGGCAGGTGTGTTTGACGACCAATTGAAAAGCGCGAAATCAGAAGCTATGAATTCATTTGGCGACAATGTCATGCTCGTCGAGAAATACATTACGACCCCTCGACATATCGAAGTTCAGATATTCGCAGACAAACATGGTAAGTACTTATGCCTTTTGGCGCCTTTCCTTCTTCTTCTTCTTCTTCTTCTTCATCATCTTCATTCTTCTTCACTCTGCGACTGCAAGACAATCCTGAAGGGAAAAGGGCTCTTTGACACCACTTGACCTATCCCATTGCTCGGGGTTTGGTCTCTGAGAAGGATTACTGAATCTACAATGTTTATAGGCAGTTGTGTCTCCCTGGGGGAACGGGACTGCAGCATCCAAAGGCGACATCAAAAGATATTGGAAGAATCGCCAGCGCCCAATCTAGACGAATCTGTTCGTCAAGATCTATGGAAGAAGGCTCGCACTGCAGCCTTGGCTGTTGGCTATGAGGGCGCAGGTACTGTAGAGTTCATTTTTGACAATGAGTGTGGCGAATTCTTTTTCATGGAAATGAACACCCGACTACAAGTGGAGCATCCCGTTACCGAAATGGTCACTGGGGAAGACCTCGTACACTGGCAGCTTATTGTGGCGGAAGGAGGTAAGCTTCCTCTGAGTCAGAAAGAGATCGAAGCAAAGATTTCGGAAAGAGGTTGGGCAATCGAAGCGAGAATCTATGCAGAAAATCCTGAAATGTTTGTGATTAAAAATAGAGTAGAATTGCAAATCGTGCTAACGTCGGTGTAGGGGTTTCACACCTGACTCGGGACGCCTCATACATATGCGAACACCCTCTATCACTGAGACAGTAAGGGTCGATGCCGGCTACATCATGGGGGACGAAGTGTCTTCGCACTATGATCCCATGATAGCGAAGCTGATCGTCAGGGGTCCAAACCGGACAATCGCCATACAAAAGTTGCATTCTGCTTTGGAACAATACGAGATTGCGGGACTGGTAACGAACGTCGAGTTTTTGAAGGCGGTCTGTAAACATCCAAGCTATGTGGCAGCCGAAGTAGAGACGGGCTTCATCAGCAAACACAGTGACAAGCTGTTCGCAGAGGGGCCAACCGCTCCTGAGGTCTATGCTCAAGCCGCTCTGGGCTTGCTATTCCTGGAAGCAGCAACTTCGCAAGAAAAGGATGCTGCCATACTTGGTATACCCCAGTCTGGATTTGCAGCCATGGCACAACGAAGATTCTGGGGGTTTCTCCCGAACAGAACGCTCGTTTCCAACGAAACGGCCGAACAAAGCGTAGGAATAGATGTTTTGGAGACCGGATTCTTTGACATTACCGTTAGTGGAACACCGACTACCTACCGCTCCGTCGCCAGCAGCTGGGAACCACAAACCCGCAAAGTCACGTCTTTCTTTCCCCATACCAGGCTCGAAACGAGAGTGATAGATGACGACCAAGGTAATCTCACGCTCTACCAACAAGGCCAGCAATTCCGCCTACGGTGTGCCACACCAAAGTGGGTTGAACGAGCCTTGGGCATCAAAGATACAGCTCACAGTGTCCTGGCGCCAATGCCGTGCAAGATCCTGAGGGTAGAGGCCAAGGCGGGCGATCATGTCAAAAAGGATCAGGTATTAGTGGTTATTGAAAGCATGAAAATGGAGACCGTGATCAGAAGCCCTCAAGACGGCGTCATCTCTAGGATTGTACATCAGCAAGGGGTAGGTGCTTTCCAATATGGAAATGGTGTCGCTAATGTGTACGTAGGATCTGTGTAAAGCAGGTAACGCTTTAGTCGAGTTTGAAGAGCTTGTAGAGCCTAAGTAGTAGCATGGAAGGTGTTGGATATAGCATTTTTCATGCACTCCGATAGATTGATGATGTCGAGCATTATGGTAGAATGCCCGGTGAGGCACATCGAGAATCGCGGTACCCATCATCCATCCACTCCCCTCTACCACCCCTCACCCTACATTCAAGGGATTCCGTGCCGATGCAGCGTCTGGTATCAACTAATCTGGGCCCTGGTCCCCATTCATTCCTGTTTCCTTACCTCCCCTCATCATGCTCATACAGTGGTCTCATAGCCGAGAAGCCTCTTGTGGACAGATTCTGACGACGCCGGGTAATCACATAACTTCCTCCTCTTCCATCTTCCCGCACCACCCTTTCTTGGAGGCTCCGTACTCAAACAATCTCTGCTACAAGCGGATTTAGCATTTGCTATCGCTACCGTCGCTTCTCTACCTGCTCTCATCGTACTCTTTATTGAAAGCCCTCCCAATAACAATCCTCCTTATCTCACTCGTTCCCGCCCCGATCTCGTATAATTTTGCGTCTCTCAGCAGCCTTCCAGCCGGCACTTCATTCACATAGCCCATGCCTCCCATCAATTGGATGGCATCAAGCGCGCACTCCGTCGCCCTCTCCGCGGCATACAAGATAGCACCAGCGCAATCTTTGGTATTTGGAGTATTGTTGGGAGTAGAATGAGCGGCATCAAGAGCATTGGCGACGGAGTACGTGTAGGAGGATGAGGCGCGATATTTGGTGTACATGTCTGCAAGCTTTGCTTGAATGAGTTGGTTGTGCGCAATTGGTGTGGAAAACTGAATGCGGCTGTGAGTGTAGGGGAGGACGAGGGCCAAGGCGGACGACATCAAGCTGCATTTGACAAGACATTAGAACGATATGTCCAAATGAAGTGGGAACAGAAGGCTCTTTACCCTAGCGGTCCGGCGCTGAGAACCAGTCTCTCGATATCCAACCCTTCCATCAAGACTCTAACGCCATGATTCACTTGACCCAGCATATTCTCTTGAGGGACGAATACGTCCTCGAATACTAACTCGCCGGTATTGGACCCTCGCATACCAAGTTTGTCAAGTTTGCGAGCGCAGGAAAAGCCTTGGGCTGTGCTGTCGAGGATGAAGGCAGTAATGCCTTTGGAGCCTTTGTCGGGCTCTGTCTTTGCATAAACGACTATGTGGTCGGCATCTGGTCCCTGAATGACGTTTTCAGCTTCTGTGTCTGGATAGAGAATTGAATTTGTGAGGGTGCAAGCCCACATTTGTGATCCACATTTTGGAGCCGTTGAGCACCCACCCTCCATTCACCGCTTTCGCTGTTGTTTTCATACTGACCACATCAGAGCCGGCGGAGTTTTCTGACATTGCCAACGCGCCAACCTTCTGCCCCGATATCAAACCGGGAAGAAACCTCTCTTTCTGGTCATTGTTACCGTTCAGAGAGAGCTGATTGATGCAAAGCTGGGAATGTGCAGCGTAGGAAAGCCCAATGCTGCCTACTACTATGAGCATTTCTATCACAACCCTATGGGGCGGATGCCTGACCTGAAGCCTTACTGATCTCTTCCATGACGATGCAATGCGCCTGATAGCCCATCGCTAGCCCCCCGTAATCCTCATCCGCCGTGATACCCAGAAAGCTTCTTGGCAGTTAGCTCCGGTGCAATTCCAGTGACCTGGACGCATCATACCCTGCTTCCCCGAACTTCCTCCATATGTCTGAAGGAAAATCATTATCGCGGTCTGTCCGTGCAGCAACCTTTTCCGGTATTTCCCGTCCTAAACATTCCTTCAGAGGCCATGTTTTGCAACGAAGAGCGTCATGGCTCACGAGTGAATTCTTGCACACGCTCTCTTAACTCAGCGAGGTCGTCAACGGTAGGAGGTACGAAACCTCTAGGGTGTTTGGTGGACGCTGGACGCTGGACCGTTACGTGGATTGGCCTTGGTTTTGGCCTGGAACGACCGACCTGACGAATGGTGCTCGTGATTGTTCGGGCTATATAAGGAGTAGACATTGTCATGATCATTAGTATTAGCTCCGTTCATCCAAAATATTCTTGGAGGAATCATGATATCGTGGGGCTGTTCAAGATCGAGGTTCCTCGGCTTCATCATGGGCTCGGCTGGCGCCGGCATTTCGCGGACAAGAACGGCGCTTCAATCTGTCACAGCAGAGGGGTAAGGATTGCTCTGATCTATGTCAACAACATGAATATTGGGGAGGGGGGGGGGGAAAAAAAAAAAAAAAAAAAAAAAAAAAGGGGTAAGTTTACGGGGTATCTATCTAAACGCCCATCTAGCCAAGAACGCCTATATTATCTATGGAAGGCAAACAAAAGGAGTCTCCCTCCCTCTCAGCCACAGCGTCGCCGAAATCTCGTGAGCGTATTTACCTTCTTTGGGTCAACTTAGGACTGTGCCTTTAAATCTCATCCCATGTCTTTGACGCATGTCGGCGCGCCCGTTAGATATCAAAGGTCCAGCATTTCTTCAATCTGCAGATCAGCTTTGATATTTCGTCACTCCACGAAATATTACGGTCTTGTGTTGCTTTTGTGGTCTGCTGGTGGTTATGAATCAACCGAACCTCTCCTGATTCGAAATTCACACTGCTTGCATGTCCATAGACACTTTTTGTCCTGCCTCGCGGGCGTGTTTTGAGTTAGGACCGAACTCGGCATCATGCCGATGAGACAGAAAGAGGATAGCAGTGCTATTTCATGTCAGTCAGGACACATATGGACCTTTTAAGCGACCCCAAAGGGCAGTACCTTGCTACAATCGCGACGAAGTCCGGCCATATGAGGCCCGCGGAAGCAACGGCTTTAGAGTTACGCTTGTACATTGTCGACGTTGTCAGTCCGTAAACCCTGAAGACAGTTCATCAAGTGCTGACCTAAAATTGGCTTGAGATATTGCTGCAGAAGCCGTTAGCCTTCTACTGCGTCGACTCCGGTGATGTACGCGTTCTTGGTGGCAACAATGACCTGCATGGGGTCAGCCTGAACAGTTTGAGGCCAATCGAGAAGTGATTTGGTGTGCATACAGTCAGGGCCAGAACATCACTCAATGTCAAGATGCACATGATCATAGCACAGATCTTCCAAGCTAGATGTACAGATCTGCTTTCGTGCCTCTCGGGCCAGAAAAGGTCGAAGAAGAAGGCCCCACTATAATCGATACTTCTTGACCTCTTGAGTAATATGGAGAGCTTCTTTGTAGCGAGAGTATGACATCAATGCTGTCTTCCCTTCTGCTTCCGACAGCATAACAAAGTCTATGCGTGGGTAACGGGGTTGCCAATCTGGGTTTTCATCCTTTTGTCGTTACAGGAGTTCTCCCGCGGAGGAAAATAGAAGCCACGACCACTCATATTTTATGTGGCATGGATGCATATTGAAACTCGCCTTTTGCACTGTTCAGTAATTCGGTCGTTCATAAGGTATTGTTCGCCCATTAGTTAATGATATATAGATGCAAATCGAGGTAAGGTACCTAGGCACATCAAATAAGCTTCTTTCTTGCTGCCAGTTGGCAGTCTAGTGTAAAGGACTCCCAAGGCGAGCAAAGGGGCAATAAAACTTCGTAATGCGAACATACCAAGTCTACTGCTTAAAAGCTTTCACTGCAAGGGAATTCTGTCGTCTCTCCCTCAACAACATGGTCTTAGCATTCATTAATTAAGAGGTCAAGGAAGAAAACAAAAGCCCTCGTTTGGCACGCAAAGGTCTCTTTGCATGACCAACATAAATCGCCGGCCTCGGCCTGCATTCATGCTTCTCCTTGACATCTTGACACTGCCAAGCCTGTGTTCTAGTTGCGCTTCCTTTGTGCAATAATAATGTGCTCTTCGTGCAAACTTCTATTCACTGCTACATCCTGCCTTCAAGGCAATCTCGTTGCATCCTTCAACTCTCGAGGCCACTAGCTCGACTTGCGCAGCGCCAAGCTTCCTCACGCGATCCGTGCGAGTTATTTACTCTATAGAGCAGTAACACATGCTGTCCAAAACGCTCGACGGATGAATGCAAGGAAAGCCCATCAAGTGGGCGCCCTTTGCCGCTTCGGTAGAAGTGCATGAGGAGATGGATATGGTTACGCATGGTTAATCACCGCACACCTGCCTTATTTTTGGGAAGAATGGTGAACGGTAGATAGCGGATGGGCCTTAAATGTGCGGGAACAAATAACAAGTGAACTGGATTCCTCAGCTCAGGGTTTTCCTTATTGCCTACCAGCTGCGATATACCTATCAAAATTCCCTTTTTCCCCCTGCAACTCTCCTGCAGTAACCAGAGTTCCTCCGTCATCAAAGTGTACTTTTACTCCGAATCACCTTTCACTTCTTCTAGGTCATCCTCTTTCGGGACAGCTGATCCCTTTGCGGCCTTTGCCGATGCAGCGGGTCCACCCGACTTGGCTGTTGCTTCGACTCCCCTAGCCTCATCGGCGCTTTCGCCCTCCCCGTCTTCATCCTCGTCACCTTCCACGGGTACAGCTTCTTCATCGGAAGCTTCCTCGGGCTCGTCTTCTTCCTCTTCCTCCTCATCGCTCACTACTTCAGGGGCGTCCTTGTTGGAGGCGGGAGCTGTCTTGCGCTTCTTGGCAGCTGGGGGGGCTGTGAGGTATCCGTCAACTTGAATCCTGCCGGAGACACGAGCCATTGAGAGTATCTGTACCTTCAGCAGCTCCCTCGTCTTCTTCCTCCTCAGAAGAGACTTCGTCCTCGCCAACGTCGGACGCATCAGATGCCTCATACCTGTGCGCCGAATGTCAGCAAGAACCCTGTCTTTAAAGCGCAAAGATCTGAGTGGATGAGCGCTTTCAGGCTGGGTGTATGAGACAAAAAGTGTCTGCAGTAGAGAGGAGAGTGGCCCATTGACTCTTGTTTGGGGATGGAAGGGCAGTCGGAGAGCGAATGACGTCAAGAAGGCTGGTCTTACTCTTCTTCCTCGTCGCTCTCATCGCTCGGGAGTGCTTGGAGTTCCGCCTCTTCTTCCTGCTTTCTCTTTCTCGTCGACATTGCGGGAAATGGGGTGCGTTGTTGGTGGTCAAAAGAATCGATTGATTGATGGAAGGGGACGGGAAAGGTAGGGGATGAAGTGGAAGGGGAAGCTCTGGGAAAGAGCTGGAGCCCCCGGAGAAAGGGTCCCTAATATGACCCTAAAGGCTAAGACCCGAACCAGGCCCTGAGCTAGCTGGGATTAGTGAGAATAGGCGAGCCAATGACGAATTCGCCCTTGCATCGCAGATCAATGCGACCACTTCATACCACTCACTACCTTACCATTGCCAAATTACTCCGACCTTGAGTCTATCCATAAGTTTGTCCATGTCTATTACTGGCCGTGCTTGAGAGGATCATGGCACGATTCAAGATGCATATTGGATTGATTCTCTACTTTCTACTTTAATCTTCTCCCACCCTTTTTACCTTCTTCATGCCTTCATGCCTGTATTTCGGAAGACATTGCGAGGCGTCGCATCCCTCACAAGTCTTCTACCGGATCATTGGAGATGTAATACATCCCGGTCGCAGTATTGTTGGTGGAATTGGTCTGCACGGTCTTGCCCATCTTCAACGCACCATTCTCTACAATTCCACCACCAGGACTTGGATCCCTCTGTAAGGCGTTGGCCCCACTCAGCACTGTGAAGTTGGCCAGGCTGATTTCATCGGGGTTTCGGTTGACAATGGTTGGCATCCCGAAGTAATTCGCCTTCACCGACTCGTGGCTGATTTGAAGCTCAAAGTAGCCGCGATAGTAAAGCTCCGACCATTGCAGCTCGCGGTTGTATTGGACTAGATAACTGCTCGCATTATTGGCTGCGGCTAGGGTAATGTTTTGGCCATAAGGAGATGGCGATGAGACTGCTGTCCCAGCGAATTCAACTCCGATGCTGCCGTTCCCTGTCGTGGGATCGTACGGGTGCTCATCGAGCCAGATGAGGTCGGTGGCCCAATTCGCATGAGAATCGCCAGAGATGACGATGTTGTTGCCAATCTTATTGTCGTACAGAGTCTGAAATGTTCTGTTTCGATTTGCTTGGTAACCATCCTGGCAATCGTCTAGATCAGTATCTCCATTAGGAGCTAGCAGTTGGGTGGCTAGACAGATTGGGCGATACTGCAGCAACCAGGGGATGAAGAAATTGGAGGATATCACGTACCCATGCATCATAATCAAGTGGATCTACATTTCCATATGCAATGGATTCATTGATCCGGGAGAAAACGGTTTGCGATCCAATTACTCTCCAAGTTGCAGCCCTTTGGGCAGAAGACTTGAGCTGGCTGTAGAACCAATTTTCCTGGCGACTGCCCATCATCGAGCGGCCTGCGTCGTCAGAGATCTGGTGGACGTAATGTGTATTCCAGTACAGATCGGTGATGGATCGATCATAGTGTCGAGTATCCAGGATGATAAGGTCAAGCAGTGTGCCGATAGAAAAGCTTCTCCAAATCCGCAAATTGTCGTCCATCTCAACTTGCCGAATAGGCATCCACTCGAAGTAAGCTCGAACAGCGTTCATCTTTCGCTGGTCAACACTAACTCCACCATCCCCGATGAACGAGGCCTCCGTGTTATTCAACTCTGACAAGGGTTGCAGGGTTAGCATAGAATTTACATGAAACGGGCTCGGTCCGCAAGACAATGATAGGTAGCACAATTGAGAGGAAGCCATCCCCGCTTTCGAAACATGTCTTACTATTCATGTCGGGTCCGGTATAGGAAGGAAACGCTCCGCTCCGATATGTACGTACCTGAAGAGCCATCGCGGTAAGTGTTGTCAGCGACCTCATGATCGTCCCAAACCGGAATCCAGGGGAAAGCTTGATGACTAAGAAGAAGATCAAGGTCGGTCCTGTATGTAGCTATTCGCTTCCGGTAGTCATAAAGCGTGAAGATCGTCCGATCTGGGAGCGGAATACGTCCAATACTCTGTCCCCAGCCGTAGTCACCGTTCTTGTACTCGTATATGTAGTCCCCGAGATGTATCACGTAGTCCACGGAGTCCTTGCGAGCTAAAAGCCTAAGGTATCAATAGACTGATAATGCAAAGTCAAAAAAAGGAGAATCCTACCTGGATTGCCAAAGGCATTGAAAAAGCCAAAGGGAAAGTTCGAGCATGCTGCGTAAGGGGATCGGAGTCAACACTCTTCCTTGAGAACAGGATACAGGGTCTGCGATCTAGAGGAAAAGCAAACTGCTCCCAATGCCGGAAGTCTTCCTGCAACTCGGCTTCGCTTTCCCATGAGAAAGCAACTGCTCAGAGGGAGACTCACAGTACACAGCCAGACCGATCTTGGTCACTAGGTCAGTGGGTGCAGGTGTTGTCTTCGTACGTCCAACTGGGCTGGTAACATTGGAATTGCAGACACTGAATTGATAATAATACCGAGTGTACGGGCTGAGATTCTGGGCTTCGATCTGATCCCATTAATCCTAATGTCTCTTGTGGCTAAGCAAGAATGAAATTACCTTAAGGGTATAATCCACATCGGACGTAGTATACGCCAGGCCAGAATCCACAACTTTTGCAAAGGCATTATCGGATGCAACCTTGTAGCTGACACAAACGGGAGCGGTGGACGGAGGAGCAATCTCGCTTTCGCTGTATATCGGAACTGGGTTATACAAGGGTACATAATCCGAGACAGTTGAGTTGTCGTTGACATCATCTTGGATTGGTGCGCATCTTGTCCAAATGATGACCGAGTTGGGGAATGGGTCTCCAGAAGCGACACCATGAGTGAAGTTCAAGGCTCCAGGGTATGGAGAAGAACCATTGTTTCGCTTGTTAACCTGTGTACACAGTCATTGGCATGGGCGTAAGGCGATAAGTAGATAAGTGATGAATCCGTCCACCCATCATACCTTGTGAATTGAGACACCGAGGCCGGGATGATTGTGAGAGGGACTTCGATAGTTAATGTTGGATGCGTAGCTAGCTACCGCCACACCTGCAAAGACAAGGGTGATTAGGAATTGAGGCATGCTTTGCAAAAGGAAGGAAGTAGCCTTTTCCCCTACGACTTTATTCCTTCTTTCATACATCTCCATTATTCTTTCCCTGAGCTCCTTCTTATATGTCATTCTTTTTTCTCCATCTTTCCCTTCTTGCCCTTTTCCGCCAAGGCTGTAGGCCCACCTGGTTCCTGTTTCCCCGGCAAGTAATGCGTCTTCCTCGGGGGAAAAAAAGAATCCCACAGCCAACAGACCCTGCCAATGGCAGGCTACAATTCTCCCATGCTCAATGTCAATTCCCTACAACCTTCCTCTTCCGACCGAGCATGATGAGATACAGTCAGAACCTGGGCCTCCTCCATATGCACACGTGCATGCGGGTTCTGATTGATTGGGTGCTTGAATCTGCATGCGAAGGATCCCTTTATCCTTTAGCACTCTTGGCATGCAGGTGCGAATCAACGGGACAATCCAGTACCTTCTAGCCGAGAGAACGTGAATGCACGCAGCTCAGGCACCATGCGCTATGCGAGGGAAATGCTTGAATTATAAGATTGTCAAGAATTATGATTACAGCTAAAGCAATTAATCCTCTTGCAAGGTCACCTTTCCCATATGTATCCCTAGCGTCTCCACCCCCTACCACACCCTTTCCCAACATCTCAGTATGCTGGTACCTAGATGATTCTTCCTGCTGCAAGCCAACCTTCATTTATCGGTCCCGCTCTTTCTGCAATAACGTCAAGACCCTTCGATTAGGTTGGGTATCTTCGAATATGTTGCATGCGCTAGGTCCGCGCTATGCTTGTCACACACACAAAGAAATGAAATGCCCATGGGCTACGCAGGAATCCAAGTTGTAGATTCATAAAAGATACCAGTCGGCGACAACGTGATGCCAATTTGGCAGTGTCTTCCCGAGCTTAGGCATTTTGTCTCTCCTCAACACCAAGACAGTCATGCTCAATTGTCGTTCGTCTACGAGTCTTGCTTACAAGGGTAAAACCTTGGAGCGGTCTCCGAGGAACTTGGCACGATATGCGGTTATTTCTCCTGCCACGATGTTGAAATCTCTGATCTTCCTGGAACGAATGTCGTGGATGACCTCTCGCAAGCCATTGCCGAATTCGTCAGGCGAGGAGCCGTCGTCTGGTTTAGCTCCCAAATCAACAAGGATCTTGTCATCTGCGAGAGTGATGAACCTTGAGTCAGCTTGCGAACTTCATGGAGTTGTGAAACGAGTACCGATAAACCACGGAACAATACGAAAAAAGCAGCAGAGAAGTACACGCAATCAAGCCTCAATTAACGCACCACTCAAACCAATGCTCCTCAAATGCTGACTCGGGCAAGAATCATCATTGCATACGCCGTCTAACTCATAGCGACAAAGTGGAATTTCTGGATTGATAGTATGACTATAAGTCAATGATCGAAAGCCATTGGAGACTTCCTCAAGATACTGAGGATGATACCGAAATGACTTGAATTGCTTCAAGGGACTTTCATATGGGGTAAAATGTCCCGTTTTGCGGTTGGACTCAAGCTTTTGCACCTGGTTTGATTCAGCGAGCTTCGGCGAAGAAGAACGATATCTTACACTGTGAGACCCAGCTCCGATTGTAATGGCATCCACACTCACCTGTTGATGAACGGCTGGTGTTGAGTCGAAGCTCGCAGGCGCAATGAAATCATGACTATCAACATCAGGTGGAGAAAAGGATTTCTCCGAATCGACGCTCGATATCTCAGTAGGCCGCGGTACCTCTTCACCTAATGGTGCTGGCTCGGGCGGTTCATAATCATCGGGGTCACTAGCATCAGCCAGAGACTGACTACGATTTAGTGATCGCTGTGATTGCTCGTCACCCGCCATACCAGCGTTGGCGGCGGGTGATGGCTCAACCGAACTCGGCTTTCCTATAGGCTCAGCCTCCTGGTCAGCAGGAAGCGGATTATGCATTGCGGCTGGTCGATCGGTCTTCGCTGTTCCGAGGTCCGGGACAGCATCAGGTTCTGGCTCCTGTCGTTGCGTTATACTTATTTCACTGGGCGGCTCATAAGTCTCGTCGTCGTCGATAGAACCAGAAGTGTCCTGAACCTCAGTCAAGGGCTTCGGGCTGTGAAAAGAGGGCTCGGCTTCGTCGACATCGCTACGGGACATTTCCATGATGTCTTCCTCGAGTTCTCCATCTGACATCCGAATGTCTGCCGTCCGCGTTGACGACTTGTCTTGCACCACCCTACCGTTCCCGGCCCCGGCAGTGCCCGAAAGTTGTATTGAATCCAAGTCGGGGACTGTCTCAACTGACGCTGCGGGTTTCGTCAAAGCTAACAAAAGAGATCCCAATCAATCTGTGTTACTTTGAACACATCGACGGCCTTGATAAGTAGGCGCACTTACCTGGTATTTCTTGGATGCTTGTTGATTGATTTGGTATGTCCCCCACGTCACAAGAATCGAGATCCATAGGCCTAGGCAGGGCCTCTCCAGATCGCGACAAGTTGTTAAGCTCTTCAATCAGAACTTGCCTGCCTTCGATGCCTTTCTGGAGTTCAGTTTCTAGACCTACTATTTCTTGTCGTAAGGACTCAAGCCTTATTCTTGTCCTCTCTACTTCGGCATCGAGGAGTGGCAATCCAGACTCTATTTCGGTCTTTCGAGCCTGCCGTTGGTTGCCGAGGGATGTTTTCCGTTCTCGCTCTTGCAAGTGCTTCAGTCGTGCCTCTTGCGCCCGCCTCTGTTCTTGCTCCTGAAGATGGTGGTCTACCTCTTGTTGTCGTAGATTCTTGTTGTCTTGTTCGCGCGCTTGCTGACTCTGGCTTTCTTCCAGACGTCGCTGTTCCTCATCCTGAAGCCGCTTCTGCTTTTCGTCTTTGAGTCGCTGCTCCTCTCCCCGCAGATTCGACTGCTCCTCTGCTTGTGGAATTTGCATTCTCTCAATCTGCGTAAGCGATTGGTCCGCTGCCGAGGCTCGAGAAATCTCCGCGGCCAAGGAACGCTCAGCCTCGGCCTTTGCTAGTTCGACTTCCTCTAACTGTTGCTCTGCATTGAGCTCCTCTTCTGCTGTGGAATCATTTCCTTCAGCGAGAGTAGCGAACGATTCTCCGTTCTTGACAGGTGCGATATCGCCATTCCGTGAGTCTGAGATGCTCGAGGGCGTATTCGGTGTGCCGTTGCTCTGATGTGGAGCTTCACCTGGAGGTGGTGAAGTTGTCACGCGACTGCAATTTCCAGGACTGTGAGTGCGGCTTGTAGTTTGCTTTGCCTTAATAGCGATACGCTGCTCGAGCTCAGCAATTTTGCGATTCATGACTTCGATTTCCATCTCCTTCGATTTTAGACCTTTCAGATCGCCACTTTGCCCCGAGACTTGCGCAGCAGGAGGCGTCATAACAACTGTTTTCTTGCGTGGCGGAAAATCAGTCAGCGGAGGCAGGCTCTTGACCAGTCTCTCATTGCCATTGCCTGGAGCAATGACTTGAGAATTTCTTGATAGAGAATCCCGACGACCGGCAATGTCTGTGTCTAAGGATTCATCTCCCGAGGTGTTATTGCTCACCTCATCGTCGCTAATGTCTATAATGACACTGGTATCCTCTTGCTGCCCCAGTGGTCTCTTTACCCTGGTGGAAGGTGAATCGATGAAGTCAGAAGCTTTCTGGCGCTTTCGGTTGGGTGAAACTGTTGTTGCGATGGTGGCTGGTAAAGCAAATTTCAGATCGAAGGAAGTTTCGGGTAATCGCGGTGTCTCATCTGTAGTTGGAGACTGAGCCGAGACCGCAGCGTGTGGACGAAAGCCTTGCTTTGACGCAGCGAAGGTGGCTAAACCGACTGTCTGCGGTGAGACTGCGAAGCCCTCGTTCGCGAGTGGTTGCGAAGGGTTTACAGGTTCCGGAGCACCTGATGTCATAAACAGTCCCGGGATGCTAAAGGGGGGCTTCTGGCTTGCTGGCGAAAAGTAAGAGCTTTGGCGACTGGGTACAGGTCGAGATGTTGGAATAGAGCTTTCAGCTGGGATGTTTGGAACACCTTTGGCGAGAGGTTGCTGACTGTGTCTCATTGCATCACTGCTGGTTGTTGATCGAGCCTGTTGTTGAATGCTCTCACGAAATTTTAGTGCCTCAATCTTCTGACGTGCTAGATCTGTCTGAGCTTTTCGTTTCGCTTCTACATCCGAATCTTCGTTTTGAATTCCCTGTGCGGTATCGACCGATTCACTTGGTGCTTGCTGAGCGGTAGCCGGAACAATCGCTGAGGCAGCGTCTGACGACTGGACTTGAGCAGATGTTCCCGAGTCTGTGATAGTGGATAATTTAGGGGACACAGGGGTAGTGGCGCTGACGGTGGGCTTGCCAGCCTTAGCTGCTAGCATTCGGGCAATATATTCTTTGCGATCGAGTATTTTTGTCTCGCCAGCTTTGATCCCGGTAGCTTTACCTAATGGATTCAAACTCGAGGATTTCGATAGTTTCGCTGAGCTGGCTTGACTCTGCACTGACTCTCCTCGTTCTTGTTCGCTGCAACAGTGGGTTGGCTGTTGATCTTGCCTTCCTCGTTTACCAGATGTGGAAACGTGTCATCGCCAAGGACGCTGTCATTTGAGCCTCTCTGTGGCGGTTTGGGATGTTGGTCGTGAATGCCCACAATTGCCTCACCTGGTGTGCTTTCAGTCGGCACGTCTCTAGCGCCAACTCGTGGTTTCATGATTTTCTGTTGCAGTAGATTTGAAGAAGCTGTGACTGGTAGCCCGATATTGGTGTAGAGTTTCCGGAGTATATCAGGATTCAAGCCCGCATTGATAATTCGGTTGAAGTCAAACCCTTCCGAATGCAAGTCTCGTAATGCTTGTTTGGCTTCGTCCATCTTTTGATCTACCAATCGCAGACTTGCTTCCTTAGATCCTTGTGCAACGGTATCCATTGACAGCTGAGGCTGGGCTGATGTGTTCTCTGCCGTCCGCGAAAACAGAGGATCATCTAGATGATTGATGAAGCCGTTCCGCATGGGATATGGGCGAGGTTGCGATGCAGTGGAGCGCGGGGAATTTGGCGCAGCAAGCGAGTCTGGGGCAAAGAATATTAGAATATGAAGTCAGACCTGTCAACCAGCGTCGAGCGGCAGGGAAATACCTCGAATGAGCCCAGGAAGCGGTTTATTTGGAGCGTTTGCAACACGGTGACCGGATTCTCTGTCTGCAGGGTCTTCGTCCTCATGTCGCTTGTGTTGCGCCATTCCTGAAAAGGTCGCCGTACTCGCTCTTGAATGACGGGTTGATTTCTCGATTTCTCCGTCGTCAAGTTCGCCGTCTTCTAGTTCGGACAATGCAGGTGGAACCGTATCTGAGTCCCTAATGTTCGTGCTTTGGACCTCCGCGGCAGCCTGAAGATTTGAGAAGACAGTACCAGGATTTGAAGGAAGATTTGAACTTGTGGAAGGTTGAGTAGAGTTTTGAGCTTCGTAAGAAGGCACACCATGCGCAGACGGCGTTGGAGGGAATGCTGGAGATTGAAAGGCACTGTATTGGATTTGCCCACCATGAGATGGGTATGGGGCTCCATAGATTTCGTTCCCAGAGCTGGGTGTTGTCACACCTTGAGCATTTGAATGAAAGGAATGGGTATTCGCATTTGTATGTGGTACTATAGGCATACCATTCATTTGGCCTTGGCCATACAGAGACGAAGCATTTTGATATGGATACGGGTATTGAGGTAGACCATTATCGTAGCTGCCAACTGGAGGTTCCATGTGGACGTTAGGGTTGAAAGGGGTCCCAAATGTAGGTGGACGAGGATAATTCGACATGGCGAATGGCTAGCTTCATGGGTCAAGAGGATGTGACAGGTCGAAGCTCACTGGTGGTTAGTCGCAAAGCGTTCAGAGAGCACTTGAATGTACATAGGAGATTGCGCAGAGCAGCGCGCATGGTGGACGAGGAGGAAACGAGGACTGATAGGAATCTACGGTTCAAGGAGAAAGACGCCACCGGGATTCGCAGGAGTGAGTGTCGAAACTGACTGGATCAAGAGGGAAGTGAAGCTGATGAATAGTGGTGAAGAAGTGAAGGAGTGAAGAAGTGAATGCGTAGCTCAGAGGCAAAGGTATAACATCAGCGACTTGAGAATTGAGAATAGTGTCGTGTCGTTGTAGGCAAAGTAAGGTACTTTATAAGTTAGGCTTGGTAGGTTAGACTAAAAGTACCGTACTCCGTACTTCGCTGGTCGCTCGCATTTTTGCAGATTCGAGAACCTCAAATAAACTCTCGGCCCGTTCAGCGCCGAGCCAATCCAGCCTTGGCAAGCGCGACGCGAGTTGCTTCTACCTTACCCCTGCAAGAGCTAACTAATCGTTGTGTTTACTTTCTGCCTTTTGGTGAAGAGCAAGCTGTTTTGAGCCTGCTGTGTTCGCCTTTCGCTCACTTACTAGAACACGGCCGCTGTACTGATCTGTTTTCACTCGTGATAGTATCATGTCTTTACGTGCGATTTGATTTGCTGCTGTTTGGTCGAACAAAATTGGCAGAGGGAGATCGGCAGCATGTCAACAACAGGTCCTGTCAGCGCCCGATGGCGCAACAATGCTTTCGACAGAGGTTCACCTTCCCCTTCGCCAGGCCTGGCGGTGCCCAGTACAAGACCCAGATCCGCTATCATTACCTCGCCTTCGGGCACGGGACCCCCTGCAACGCATAATCGAAACCAGTCATTTTCTCCTCCGAGTGGATCAAGCTTTGCATCATTACAGCCGGCGATGCAGAGATCGACTTCAACCAGGACGACTCACCAATTATCTAACACCTTTGCACCAAAGTTCATTAAGACCGAAGAATCTCAAAGGGCTGGTGACAAGATTGGCGGAATCGAGGGCGAGAACGACTTTTCTGGAAAACGTTACGTCTGGCTGCGAGACCCACAGTCAGCGTTCGTGAGAGGATGGGTAGTCGAGGAGCTTCTTGGAGGCCGTTTGCTTGTGCAATGTGACGACGGGAGCGTAAGGTGGCTAAACATTCAATTGAACTTGCAGGGATTGCTGACAGTGACTCAGCAACGAGAGGTCGATTCCGAGACCGTTGATAAAGTAAATCCTGCCAAGTTCGACAAGGCAGATGATATGGCAGAGCTCACTCACTTGAATGAGGCCTCTGTGGTCCATAATCTCCATATGAGATATCAAGCAGATTTGATCTATGTTAGTCATCCGAGCGACGATTTGAGGCTCAGCTAATCGATGTCACCAGACCTATTCTGGCTTGTTTTTGGTCACCGTCAATCCGTACTGTCCCCTGCCTATTTACACCAGCGATTATATGAAGATGTACAAGGGGCGCAGCAGGGAAGATACAAAACCTCACATATATGCCATGGCTGATGGTGCCTTTCGGAATCTGATCGAGGAGGGTGAGAATCAGAGCATTTTGGTCACGTAGGTGTCTTTCACATCGATTATCCAGTCTCCGCTTATGCTTCGATCAGTGGCGAGTCAGGTGCTGGCAAAACTGAGAACACTAAGAAAGTCATTCAATATCTTGCAGCCGTAGCAACTTCTGACTCTCCAGGGGTAAAATCTGGAGGACGGCAATTCTCTAACCTTTCGCAGCAGATCTTGAGGGCCAACCCGATTCTAGAGGCTTTTGGGAATGCCCAGACTGTACGCAACAACAATTCTTCACGTTTCGGGAAATTCATTCGTATTGAGTTTACACGGTCAGGACAAATCGCAGGAGCTTTCATTGACTGGTATCTGCTAGAGAAATCTCGAGTCGTAAAGCTCAACTCCAGTGAAAGAAATTATCACGTGTTCTACCAATTGCTTAGAGGGGCAGACCGACGCATGAAGGAAGACTTCATGATCGCTGATCTAGGAGTGGAGGATTTTATCTACACGAGAGGTGGTAACGATATGATTGCTGGAGTCTCAGATGTTGATGAGTGGAGCTCGTTGCTGGAGGCTTTCCATATCATGGGCTTTTCTGAAAAGGAGCAGCGATCTGTGCTCCGTACTGTCGCTGCAGTTTTGCTCCTTGGTAACGTCACAGTGATGAAGGAGAGCATGCGGGCCGATCAAGCCACACTCACGGAAGATGCTCATGCACAAGCCAAGAAAGTCTGCCGGCTGCTCGGAATTGCCGTTGAGCCTTTTATTCAAGGATTGCTTCACCCAAAAGTCAAGGCCGGTAGAGAGTGGGTCGAGAGAGCTCAAACGCCAGAACAGGTCCGCTCATCTTTGGATGCCTTGTCGAAGGGTATCTACGAACGAGCTTTTGGCGATCTCGTGTCTCGGATCAATCGTCAGCTTGACCGGACTGGTATGGGCCTTGATGATTCCCACTTCATCGGAGTCTTGGATATCGCCGGTTTTGAGATATTTGAAGAGAATAGCTTCGAGCAACTGTGCATCAATTACACCAACGAGAAACTTCAGCAATTCTTCAACCACCACATGTTTGTCCTCGAGCAAGAAGAGTATGCAAGGGAGCAAATTGAGTGGAAATTCATCGATTTCGGAAAGGACCTCCAGCCCACCATTGATCTCATTGAGCTCCCAAACCCCATTGGAATTTTCTCCTGCCTTGACGAAGACTCCGTCATGCCAAAAGCTACTGACAGATCCTTCACTGAGAAGATGCACTCTTTATGGGAGCGGAAGACGCCCAAATATAGGCCGTCACGTTTAGCTCAAGGATTCATCCTGACACACTACGCAGCTGAAGTGGAATATTCTACGATTGGATGGCTGGATAAGAACAAAGACCCGCTCAACGACAACATCACAAAGCTTCTTGCATCTTCCCATGACAAACACATCGCTACGCTCTTTACCGACTGTGCCGACCCTGATGAGGATGCCGGCGCAACAAGGAGTCGTGTCAAGAAAGGGCTCTTTAGGACGGTGGCACAACGACACAAGGAACAACTTTCCAGCTTGATGAATCAGCTTCACTCCACTCATCCCCACTTTGTGCGTTGTATTCTGCCGAATCATAGGAAGCGGCCTAAGCAGTTCAGCGCACCGCTTGTCCTCGACCAACTGCGATGCAATGGTGTTCTTGAGGGCATAAGGATTGCCAGGACCGGCTTCCCCAATAGACTGCCCTTTTCAGAGTTTCGTCAGCGATACGAAGTTCTTTGCCGCAACATGCCTAAGGGCTATCTTGAAGGTCGAACGGCCGCCCAGATGATGCTCGAAAAACTGGATTTGGACAATGCTCTTTATCGAGTAGGCTTAACGAAAGTTTTCTTCAGAGCCGGCGTGCTGGCAGAACTCGAAGAGCAGCGGGACTCTCTCATTCGGGATATCATGTCTAGATTTCAATCAGTCGCAAGAGGATTTACCCAACGAAGGATCGCAAACAAGCGCCTGTATCGAGCGGAAGCGACTCGAATCATTCAGCGTAACTTCGCGGTCTACAGCGACCTTTGCAACAATCCATGGTGGAGACTCTTCGTTCGGATGAAGCCTCTGCTAGGTGCTACCAAAACTGCTGGAGAAGTCAGAAAGCGCGATGAGACGATTCAGAAGCTGGAGGTCCAAGTGCAGCAGGAGAGTAACGATCGACTGAGGCTCGAAGAAGAGAGAAGGCGTGCAGAAACCGAAGTCCAACGCATTCAGCAAACCCTGGAAAGTGAACGCTCACTCGCGCTCGACAAAGAGGAAATTTTCAAGCGCCTGCAGCAGCGTGAAGCAGAGCTGATCGAAAAGCTTGCAGGTGCGATAGAAGATCAAGAAAGCCTTGAAGACCAGCTCGACGACCTCATTGATGCTAAAAAGAGGGCGGAAGAGCAAGCTGAGAAATGGCGTGGCCAGCTTGAGCAGGCGGGACACATCATTAGCAGACTAGAAGCCGACAAGAACGACCTCATAGACAGAATTTCCGATTTGGACGATCGAATTAGCGAAAATGAGAGAGCTAGGACCGAGAAAAATGATAGACACGAGGGACTCATCCAGAACAATAAGATGCTAGAGAGCCAAATGCGCTTGCAAGAACGAAAAGTCTCCGACCTTGAGAGCAAGCTTCTCAAAATAGATCAAGACTTGGATATCAAGCTAGCTACAACCGCAAAGGACTTGCAGCTCTCACGAAAACAGGTCAAGGATCTTTTGGACGACAACCGCCAAATCCGACAACAACTCCAAGAGCTCTCATCCACTTCCACCGGCTACGAGGATATGATGAGACGGAAGGAGAGCGAGATTGCTGTATTGAGATCGGATCAAAAGAGGCACGATGCCGAGCGCATGACACTGGAGGCGGAGCGAAGCATGTTCGCTTCTCGGCATGATAACATCCAGACACGGTTGCGTGAGATCCAGGCGGAAGTTGATGCTACCAAATCGCAAAAAGCTCAACTAGAAAGGGAGGCAGCAGATACCAAGAGAGTCCTTGATGCCAAGTTATCTGAGGACACACAGGCCAGCAATAGCCGCAAGATGTTGAACGGCCAGATAGAGGATCTTAAGGTGGAGCTGTTCCAAGTCCAGGCGGAGCTCAGTCGCGAGAGACAGTCTAGGGACGACGTCCAGATGCTAAGTGATCACAAGATGACGGCCTTGAAGGAGGAGTATCAGAATCTCAACGAATCGAAGATAACCATCGAGAAAGAGCTTTATGTGCAACAAGATACTCTCCGCCGTGCAGTTGAAGCACGGGCTAATGCTGAGAAAAGTCGTAAAGACCTGCAAACGGAACTGAAAAAGCTGCGTGAGCGCTTCGTGGAGGCGGAGTCCTCAAGACTGCAGGCCGAGACAGCAATGGAGCGTAGCATTTCTCGGCAAGCGAATGAGCGTCAAGCCACCCTTAGAAAGGAGCTAGGTAAGGAAAAATGGCAGTGCGACCATCAAAGGGGAGTGGCACCACCCCACCAAGAAAATAAAATACAATCTCTCAAAGAGATTATTTTTAATTAAACTTCCGTACCCAGCACGACCAGCATAAGGAACGCTTGGGGAGAGCTGATAACCGTCAAAAGGCCGATTAACAGCGTCAGAGAATGACAATCGTTGCACTTTTGAACAAAGTTCAGCAGAAGAACCTAGACATTGCAAGATCAAATTCTAGAGCTGGCGACTCGCAGAGGTCTAGGATGGGCCAGTGCAAGCGGAGAAAGCAAAGTTGGACGAAG